AAACTCATGTAGTGGTTCTTGAGACCGCCAATAGTGCCAACCCGCGCTACTCCCATCAGGGGCTTGAGCTGTGGACTGCTTGAGTCTTGAATGTGTCAGATCAGCAGTAGGATAATGAGCAGCCGGCTACATCCTCAGCTCAAATGTGTCGTGCAGAGAAAGCGCACGCTATCCTCTCAACTTCCTCTTCGAGTTCCTCTCCGTGCGATGGCAGCCGCCGCAGCCAAGAACAAGGGTGCCAAGTCAAAGGCGAATCCGAGCCGACGAGGGAATCTACAAGAGTCAGCGGCCGTGATACAATCGCCATCAAGCAGGACCCCCACAGTCCAACAAGTGGGGACAGTGGGTGCGCGGTGCAACTACACTCTACACTCTTCCAAGGGGAGCGCCTGCCAACGCAACAGCAACGGCAATGGACCCACGGTGAAGATGATGCTGTCGCAGCTGCAACCGCTGATGGGCGATGTGAAGCCGACGGCACAGATTTGCAAGCGCGTGCTGGACAAGATGACGGCAGAACTGGTGCTGTGGTGCTGAACGAGGCGATCGTGGAAAGAAAGGCCCAAGCCACAACGTCTGGGTATCCTTCCTCAACGACGACAAGCAAGTGATGGGAACACATTGGCCCGGACACGGAGTTTATTGCGGCCTGCAAGAACCAGGTCTATGCAGCTCATCCAGCTTGCCATTGCATATGGGCAAGCAGTTGATGGCCATGTCGTCCATGATGACGGCGGCTATGACTACCATGCTGGTGGACCTGCATATGACAGGTCGAGATGGTCTCCGGGAGATTTCTCGTGGACCTCATAATTGGCACCCATAATTGGCCACGATGTTCGCCAAAGAACATGGACTACAACCTCGGAGAATCGACTATACCAGAACGGTTTCGACTTGTACCAAAAGGACACCCCGACTCCAAATGGTGCAACTGGAAGGCGGTCAACTACAACACTGCAGAGCAACAAGTGAAACTCGAGTCTGGTCGTCGGAAAGAACGCAGATTTCTACGGGACATGAGTCAGTGGCCTCATGCCTATGGCAGGGCCTATGGTTGATATGGCAGCGCATCTGGAGAACATGGGCCTCCTATGGGTGTCGTGTCGTATTGATGTTTGCAACTATGGCATGAAAGACCTCTCCAGCAACCTCTTTGTAAAGAAACAATGGCTCATCAAGACAACGGATGAGTTGTTCTCTGCAAAAGTATGTCGTGCCAACCACCAGCACGACAGCCTGGATGGCGAGATGGAGAGTTTCCGCAGCAACTTCTACCCGTGGAAGCTAGTGCAAGCCATCGCCAGGCATTGGAGAGATCAAATGGCCCCGCACCGACACCGGCAGCTCCTCTCTCATTCAAGAAGATCAGTCTGGACTACAAGACGAAGATGATCCTGATGGAAACACCCGCAAGGAGTGGAGTTCTTCGTCGTCTGTCTCCACAAGAGTGTGGGTCAACGTTGATGGTGAGCTTCAACGTGCAAACACATCTTCACAAGGATCCACGCAATCTTCCTGGGACAAACAGTTTGGTTTTGGCTTTGGGTGACTTCCGTGGAAGAGGTCTATGGCTACAGCTACCACCTCCACAGGGACAACAGCGGTGCGACCACAAATGTCCGATGGAAACCTTTGACCCCCGTGTGACCATGCTACTCAGACATTGAGTGATTTTCGGATTGGAATTTCGGCCCGTTCTTCATTCACTACCAGATTGGTTCATCAACTACATCCTCAGGAGCGACGACAGCTGCAGCAGTGGGACTTGTCACTACCTGCGCAACCGCATGAACGTTATCGACAACAACCTAGTCAAGAGCAAGAAGTCAGAATTCCAGATCCTTCTCCACTACCAGTGAACGTTCTTCAACAACCTAGTCGAGAGCCAGAAGCCAGAATTCCAGATCCTTCTCCTGGTCATGTTTTTTTGTATGAAGCATGCGGCTATCCCTGGCCAAAACAGGTTTCCTGGAGTCGTTCAGCCAGATCCACCTGGTACCACGAGCCGAAGCGGATGCGTGGAAAGCCATAAGCAAAATCATCGTGCCGCAGGTCACCCCACCAACAAGAACCTTGCCAAGATCTTCAAGATCGGAGGGCGTCCAGAATGGAAGGTGGAAGCAGCCTTGAACCACCGTTGTCCTGCGTGCGAGTCCCTACGCCCAGGTGGCACAAGCTCAGGAAATATTCCTCCAGCTACGACGTCGCCGAACGCGGCAGAGTGGAATGTGCCTGGCACCAAGAAGAATGTGAAGTTTGTACTCTTCATGGACATGGCGAGCAAGCTACGAGTGATGCAGCCTCTCTTGATGCACGGGGTGCTGGCTATGCAGGCCGAGTCCACTGATGAGGTGATTCAGCCGTTCTCAGAAAGATGGCCAGGAGTTTTCCCCAAGCCATGGATGCAGCCTACAGCTTTCTCTCCGAGAAGATGCATGAGCTTTTGCCCGTCGTGAACATCTTGCCCCACTATATCGCTGACAAGGAGAGTTGGGCGCAGGGTGTCCGAAGCAGCGGTTTAGGATGTCAAACGCACAGCCGCAGCTGTTCAATTGGATGCTTCGGAGCAACACCGCCTTGTGACCTTGCAGTTGACTGCGGCAGCTTGAATTCTACTGAGTACACAGTGGACAAGACTCAACCTCACCGATGAGGATGTCCGAACCTTTGTGTCAACCCTAGGGTGATCAACGAGGCGACTGCCAGACTGGTGACACAACGACAGATAGAAGGCTGAAGAGATTGCACTGAAGTCCAAGTCGCAATGCATCCTCACCAAGTTGTCCAACGCCACAGTGAGACAGCCTATCTGCACGTTCAAGGAGATGGACCCGGTGAAAGTTTGGAGAAAACTTTGGCCGCGAGAAATTCATCATGGACCACGCGGAGTTTTCAAGATGTCCGGACGTCCTCACTGGATTGGGCCGGGACTAGTTGCTTTTCATTAAAGTCTTCCTCGACAAGAACAAGATCATCATCGATGTCACATTGTATGGGTTCTGATCGACTCCAAACTTTGTCGATGTTCAGTTCACTCTGTGAGGCCCGTGACCGATGTGAAGAGATTCATTCGTGAGCGAATGGAAGACTTTGGCCGACTGTTGCTAAAGATGGAGAGCGTGGACCTCACAGATCATGAACCGCAAGATGATGAGCCTAAGCTTCCTGATTTACCTGTGCGACCCGATTCTGCTACTTTGACAATACCAACCACACATGGGCTAAGGTACCGGGTGGCCGGGTCCAGTGTTGTGGTTCCTGCCAGGTCCCAACCTTGATGGGAGGCCATCAAGAGCCTTGCGGAAGGTTGGGCGTGGGGGTCGGGGTACAGGCACGGGAGGGAGTAGAGGGCAAGGGTGCAAACGTGGGGTCGAGGATAGAGTAAAAAGGGGGTGGGAGAGAGGGAGCAGGGAGCAGGGTCTCTGTTAGCTCCCAACCATTGTTAGTCTTTGAAAAGGTGTCTTTATTTGTTGTCAACAACTTCTGTTTGTCTTCAAACATTTTCAATTCAAATAAATGTTTTTGAAAGCTTTTGACAGTTGTCTAGAGTTGTTCAAAGTCTTTATTTGCCTCTAATTGTGTTTATGTGGCTTCATTTGTGTTTATTTGTTTTTTGGGTTGGTGTTTATATAAATAAAGAGAAGATCTAAACCCTGAGGAAGGCGACCTAAAATTCAGCACAATGATACAAGTACTATTTACTACTCCTGCTGCCACTGCTGCTGCTCCTGCTCCTGCTCCTGCTCCTGCTGCTGCTACTGCTGCGGCTATGCTGCTGCCAGTGCCACTGCCACTGCCACTGCCACCGCCACCGCAACTGCCACTGCCACTGCCACTGCTACTGCTACTGCTACTGCTGCTGCTGCTGCTACTACTATTACTATTACTACTACTACTACTACTACTACTACTACTACTACTACTACTACTACTGCTACTGCTACTGTGAATAAAGTGATAATATGGTTATCATTGCGATGGTTATGATTGCATTACCACCATTACTACTTGTATCAGTATTACTACCACCACTACTACTACTACTACTACTACTACTACTACTACTACTCCTACTACTACTATTGCTATTATTATTATTACTACTACTACTACTACTGCTACTACTACTCCTCACTTCTACTTTGCTACTACTTGCTACTACTTGCTACTACTACTACTACTACTACTACTTCTGCTACTACTACTTCTACTACTGCTACTATTACTACTACTACTACTACTACTACTACGACTACTACTACTACTGCTACAACAACAACTACTACTACTACTACTATTACTACTACAACTACTACTACTACCACTACCACTACTACTACTACTACTACTACTACTACTACTACTACTACCCCTGCTACTACTACTACTACTACTACTACTACTACTACTACTACTACTACTACTACTACTATTACTCCTGCGCCTCCTCCTGCTGCTGCTGCTGCTGCTACGACAACGACTACCACTACTGTACGGCTCCGGCTGCGGCTACTGCTGCTTGTGCTCCTATTACCATTACGACGACGATTGCGGCTACGGCTACGACTACGCTGACCGCGACTACGACTACCTCGCGTGGTGCTACGATGCCGGATGCCGGCGATATTTGGCGATACAGCCTACATGCAGAGCAGCAGTACGATTGTCACTGTCGTAGGTCATCACCCTCCACACCAGATTTGCTGCTGCTGCAGCTGCTGCTGCTGCGTGGCTGCTTGCAGCTGCTAGTGTTGGAAAGAAAATAACCGACCGCAACCGCAAGCAATTGCAATACAACAACAGGAAGAACACCACGACGCGTTCGGCAGCAGACGCATGCATTTCAGCATAGAAGCGGTTTCAGGCACCGTCGAAATTGAGGCTTTGCAGCTGGAAGGTCCTCAGCTACACGTTTATTTTGACACAAATGCGGGCTTGCCTAATATTTAAGGTTCGACGATGCGACACATGCCCCAGGTGCTTGTACAGCCCTGAAGGTACCGCGAAGTGTTCTATTCTCGGCCCTACATTTTGGCACTGTACAACCTGCAGGGTTGCAACAGCCCTTGGAAGCTGGACGGGGCGTCTTGGAGTAGTGAAAGGAGAGCCGATAGCGAAATTGTTCGTCGGTGTCTTTGCGATAATATTCCTTTGCTGTTTACACTGACTGTTATCGGCGTGTCGCCGTGCTTGTGTTAAACGGATGAGACACAATCGCACCTTGACGTGGATGCAGTGGAGCATTGTAGCATTCGTCAGGACAGGGTCCCGGCGGTTGTTTGGATCGTTCGCATCCTGAGGTCCCCACCGACAGGTACTACTGTGAATACCAGTATCAGACCTTCAGGGCAACGATCTGTGGGAAGGTAGACGTGGATCAGTTTGCCGAGATAAGTGGCCAGGACGTGTATTTCCCAACTGTGGCTTCCGGCTGCGGGCAAAACCTTTGTTTCTGCCATGCTCATTCAGACGCCTTCTACGACTTCAACCTTGAGTTCTTGTGCAGGGAGGGAGAGCCGGTGCAATTCGCCAGTCAATGGAGTCAAGACTATTTCTTAGTGCACAATGTGCTTCTCAGTCTGCGCTTGGAGATGGCTGAGTTGTTCCAAGGGCAAAAAGTTCCACAACCTTTAGTTTATGTGTGAAGAGCTGGAAGAGCAACTGAGGTTTGGGGAGGAGACGCGGGGCCGGGGTGTGTATGTGGATGTTGGCTCATCCCACCCGTTCCATCTGTCGAACACGGCCTTCGTGGACAGCTGCATGGGTTGGCAAGGTTTGTGCTTGGAGCCGAATCCGCGCTTGAAGCATATGCTTCTGGGCAGCCTTTGGCCAAAGATCTCGTGAAGTTCGGAACGACATCCTGAGGTTTTTCAGCAGTAGCTCAGTAGCAGGAGTAGTGCTGGTGGTGTTAGCAGTAGCAGTAGCATTAGTAGCAGTAGTGGCGGTGGCAGTAGTAGTAGTAGTCGTCGTAGTAGTAGTAGTAGTAGTAGTAGTAGCATGTAGTGGTCGTGGGATGATTGAAGCCGAGGATCCAGGGCCTCCGTGGCTGCCAAGTTGTGGATGCCTGCGCATGGGCCAACGAGACCACAATGAAATTCGCGAGCCCGGCTTGAATAGTCCAGCTTCAGCCTTGCGAGTTTCTATTCTTCTTTCAAAGCACGGCCCTAGCCTAGACTCCCACCAACTTCCGAGCCGAATCTTTGCGGGAGCCCGCGAAGTTCTGTCGATTGATAATCATCGATCGAACGCTCGAATTTATGGTCTTTTCTATCGGCGTTCGAAAAACGAGTCTAAGCTATCCAATAATTAACCGATCCACTCGATCCTTCGTTCGATTCTTCGACTGGTCTTATCTGAAACATCGCTCGATTCTTCGATTGATTTTTACAAATCCACCGCTCGATTCCTCGCTTGATTCCTCGATTGAATTCAAAGTGTATTATTTTCTCATATATAGTTCATACTTGTTCCTACTGTATGTCAATATAAAGATATCTGGTGTAACATCATGATGTCTGGACAGACATTTTATTATATTGTCATGTCTTTTCATAGTAATCTTATGAATGCCTGGACAGGCAGCAATTACAAGTCATGATGTATATACCGAACAGAAATTTCTCAAAGGTTATTGAGCACCTAGCACCTCGAGCAACGGAACCACTTCCGAGGAGGGCTCGAGCAGCTGCAGACACCACGCCCGAAGATGCCGAGAAGCAGAAGAAGAAAATGAAGTTTTCGCATGTGATGGCGACGATGGAAGCACTCTTGCAGATGGCTCACAGGGCCACGAACATGGCGAACTCGTTGATTGTCGAAGCCCGTGAGACAGAGTCCAGACGATGCTGTGATTTTGATCATGGGACACCTCGACGACATTGACGCGCGGATGCGGCTGTTGGATGAAGCCGGTCGAGAGCATGAGCTGATATAGGTGCAGGGAGTCGCCTTTCTGGAGCTGTAGGTGCAGTTTTGGAATCTGAGTGTATGCCAGAAGAGCATGGAGGAACGGTGAGAAGAAAGACAAATGGTTTGTTGCAGTCGATCGATTCAAGCATGTAAGCGTATGATTTATGGAAAGGCGGGAAGCATGGACTTGTCAATGTCTGGAAAGAAAGGGAAGACGATTTTGCAACAGCTGGAGTACATATGATGCTTGGAGATCAAGTTAGAATATAAGGCCAGGCAGCGAGCCTAGAGCCAGCTCCCGGGCCATGGGTAAGGGAGGTCCTCACCGACGAAAGGTGCCAGAGAGTGAGTTGGTGCACTTCCAGGATGTGCTGTCGGAGGCGATTAAGCTGGAGGGAGTTTTGAACTTCCACGGGCACATGAACATGAGCAGAAGTCAGGCGATCTCTGGGGCCTCTTTGTGTTCCCTGAGCTCCTTGATCACCAACGTGATGGCAGAGCAGCCAGCCCTGATCTTTAAGTATCAGGACCTGAAGACAGTGTTTGGGGGACTTTTGCCAATCTACGAGAAAGTGTGCCAGATGAAGGAGACCAAAATGCAGCAGAAGAAGAAGAAGGAGCAGGACGCCAAGAAGAAGGTGAAGCCGATGAAGAAGCAGACGACGACGAAGGCAATGGCAAGTCCTCCTGCGGATCCCGACCTCGCGAAGGTGAAGCTCGTGCTGATGCCGTGTAACCAGTGCGGACGAGTTGCAATCTGCATCCAGAACGGCAGGCAGTTCTTGCAGGTTTCGAAGTATACGCCCAAGAAGAATCGGATTATTGCCATGAAACTGAAGAAGTACCTGGAGATGGGAGTCTATTTCGAACGTGTGCTGGAGATGAAGGCTCAGATGTGTTATGGACGATGACATGGACATCTGGACAGATCGTGATCAACGAATGCAGTGTTGAGGGAGAAAAAGAACAGATTTGTGAAGTGTTGGAGAACATGCAATGATAATGTCTGGAATTGTCTGGACAGACATGCTGCAGCATTTCGGCTGCATGGGTTTAGTGTAATGTCTGGACAGACATGCTTGAGCTTTCTGGCTTAGAGAGAACATGTAGTGATAATGTCGGGACAGACATGCTGAAGCATTTCGGCTGCATTCGTTTAGCGTAATGTCTGGACAGACGCATGAAGCAAGTTTGTCAATTTGTGATCTTGAGCTTGCGAATATCTGCGCTTTTGTGTTATGTTTTGCTCAAGATCGTGGCAGACAACACGAGGTCCGAGTAGCACGAAATACATTGGAGTAATTGGGCACAGCCGCAGAATATGTAGAAAAATGTCCCAGCTCGGCACCGGGGCATTTGACCGCAAGGGCCGAGATGTGCCAAGGAGTGTGGGCGGCAAGGGCTTCGACTGTGTCGACCACCTAGACGTGACAGGAGGAAAAACTGGAAGTGGAGAAGGGCACCCATCCTTGCTGACAAGGGTGTTCCAGGACAAGGTGTGCCTTTTCGACACCTACGAAGCCATGATCGCGGGCATCGTGGCGGAGCTGGAAAAGAGAGATGATCTTGAACAGAGCCATGGAGGACCCTAGATTGAAACCCTTGCCTATGTGATGCTACTTGACCCTCGTTGGCCGTTGGCTTTAGTGGAGATACGTTGGACTATGTGGAGCCTTGCCTGCCTGTACGAGTGTGAGCGTCGAAACCGTGGCTTGCAGGGCTTCGTACGGACTTGAAGGACATTGCAGTTACTCAGAAACATATGGCAGCCCAAATGGACTCCTCGGCCAGCGAACTTAGGCAGCTTAGGGAAGGTATTCGCAATTTGGGAGAAGGGCAAGAGGGTTTATCCCGACGTGCGGATGAGCAGGACGCGGCGCTCCGACAGATGCAAGCTGAGCTTAGGGAATTCGAGAGAGAACTGCAGCACCTGAAGTCACCCTCCCACGCGCAGTGTTAGCCCAGCGCCCTGACAGAGGTCGGGAGGTGGAGGTACGCCTAGGTACGGGGGTAGGTTGACGAATTGCAGATAGTAATCGGGGGCTGGCGCGAATCCAGACGCCAAGATATAGAGTTAGACGTGCAAACCATCTTTGAGCGCCTCAGGGGGACTCGGGCTGCAACTTTTGGGCGGCCAGGAACCGCTCGGCACAGGAGCGGGCTAAGGTGCGAGCGGTATTGTCAACTCGAGACCTGTGCAAGCGCTTCTTGGGGGAGCACATGGTTGACATGGGCTGGCGTGGACGGGTCTGGGCAAACTCCGTCCAGCTACTGCACCATGTTGACACAAGAGATAGGGTCATGAATACACTCATGCTTATCGATGCGAAGGGTAACGAGTGGGGGTGGTTTCTTGACTTGGACCAGGTAGTTGCTGTTTTGGGTGTTGATAAGGAGGTAGTGCTGCAACACTTTGATGCGCACTAGGGATGTGGGAGGGAGGCAGCACAGGGCACCAACAAGAACAGGGTCGAACGTGACACTGCTCCTATCACCTGCATGACTTGGAATCTGCATGGCAAGGGCACGCAACATGTGTCCACTCTCCTTACAGGCTTGGAGGTGCCGGCAGACATAATTGCTCTTCAGGAATTAGGTGATGTTCGTGGGTTAGCTGAAGGCTGCTCCAAAACGTGCATGGAAACCATAGCTGGTAAAGAGTATCAGTTGTTCCTTGCGAACCCTGCGCTTTCACACCGCTGTTCAGCTGTTGCAGTGGCACTTGATCTGGAATTCAGTATGACTAAGGTCGATGTGCATGCCTTTGGTATCCTGGTTTTCGGGAATATGCTAGGTGCCCCGTGGCTCTCAGCAAGTCTGCATTTCCCACACCAACAACGTGAGGATGCGGTCGATGCATGGGAGGCAGGGGTGGGTAATTTGCTTGAGCACCTTTGTCAGTTGCGGTGGGAACATAATGTGATCCTCTGCCATGATTTGAATCAAGATGTGCATGCCGAATTTGATACATTTGAGGGAATGATGCATTTTCGTGAATTCATGTTCCAAACCGGGCTGCAAGCATCTCCGCCATTGGGCAAAACGTGGCATGCCAGAGGCTCAGCCTGTCCCATTGATTGCTCTCTATACCAACTGCGCGGTATGGAAGTCAGCTTCAGCAAGCGAGAAGACTTGCGTATGGCCTTTCCATCGGATCATGATGCCCTCATCCTCAGCTTCGCTGCAAGAGGACGTGGTGCCAACAAGCGCAGGGCTCGTCCGCCCCGTACCCTATGTGGTAAGTGGAATGTCGCGGGAGATCTCCTGTGGCAAGCCCAAGAAGCTGTGCCTCAGTGGGATGATGACCAAATCAACCGAGCATTTCGGCAACCGGGTGTTAGCACTAGGCCTAAATCACTCAGGTACACGGATCCTGATGACATTAGAGACTTGATTGCCAGGAGGAAACAATCCACGGATGAGGACACCAGAGCTGCCTTCATGCAGGAAATACACCAACGGCGAATTCAAGCTAAGGCTGACCGCAAATCACACCTCTTGCAGGAGGCTCAGGCGGGGAACGCAAGGGCTATCGCGCACATGCGTGCCAGCTCTGCAGGAGGACAAACGGAGGGTTCGTACATACATAGAGTCGGAGGCATTGATGAGGCATGTAGGTCCCTCTTTGACTTTTACGATAAGAAGTTCGCACGACAGGACCAACCGATTACGGATGATCACAGGCAGAGGTTGTCTGAGAGGCATGCACTGCGGTGTGCGTGTGAAAGAAGGAAAAGACGAAGTGATCCTGGAACAGAGCGACTATTGCGGCACAATCGAGCAGGTGAAGTTTGAGAAAAGGGATGAGAATCTTCCCGCGACTCCGGAGGAGGTGTCGCAACTTCGTGGAGTGCTGGGAGCAATCCAATGGAGGGCCTACTCCACTGCTCCACAGCATTTGGCGACTCTGAGCATGCTGCAGTCGCAGACAAGTAAAGCTACTGTTGCAACGCTTCAAGCGGCAAACAAGCTCTCCCGAGAAGTGTACAATCAGCGACACATGTGCATCAAGATTCCGGATTTGCAGGTGGCACCTGAGGATGTCACATTCGTGTCATGGTGTGATGCCGCCGTGGGCAACAGACCCGATCTCGGGTCCACGGGTGGCTACATCATTGCAGCAACGACACCTAATGTTGCAGACGGTGATGTGTGCAAAATGGTGCCCATATCTTGGAGGTCTGGCAAGCTACCAAGGGTAGCTCGGTCGTCGCTCAGTGCAGAGACACAGGCATGCAGTGCAGCAGAAGAAGAGCTCATGTATCTCCGAGTTCAGTGGCGCGAGATGTGCGGTTACGACATAGAGCTCAAAAGACCGGCTGAAGCTGCCAAAGAGGTCAAAGGCATTATGGTGACGGATGCGAGAAGCTTGTACGACCTGTTGCACAAGAAAGACCTCAACTCAGCAGCAGGCGGTCTGAAAGAGAAGTACACGGCGTTAGAAGCTCTGAGTTTGCTAGAGAGGTTACAGATGACGGATACGGAAGTCAGGTGGGTGCATAGCGATGCCCATGTTGCTGATGCCTTGACGAAGCCGAATCCGTCAGGATCCTTGTATGCCTTTCTTACTCTCGGCAAGTGGCGATTGATTTATGATCCGACTTTTGCTAGTGCCAAGCGTATTCGACAGCAGAAGCGGTTATATCAATAGTCTTTTGGGCGTGTGTTTGTCTGTGCTTCAATCAGTCTCAGCCACTTTGTCTGTACAGCATGAGAGTTGATGCCACCGATTCCGCTGTGTTACGACTCAGATGCTACGTGATCATGCCGTGAAGGCGACATCAGCGTGCAGCAGGAAAAGTTCGGAATTCGAGCTCGGGCTGCTGTGGATTTTGGCACTATCACGTGTGCCTTGGATTGCTACCAGAATTCCTCTCTCACTTCCCTGCAGGCAAACTCGGACCGATTGTTTTCTCGCTTGAGATACACGATGAGTTGTTTGTGCACGGGGAATGGCTGGAATTTTCTAGGTCGCTCACAGGCCACTAGCTAGCTATGGCAGTAGGTGTTATGCCTTTAGCATAATCTTGAGCCAAAGTTGCGTTGCATGTGGAGCAATACAGATTAGCTCTAAGCGGCCCGGCAAGCGGTGCCATGTGCAGGCGGCGGAGACAAGGTCCGCAAGACGGTGCCTTGCTCTATGCACATGAAGATTCATGACATTGTGTTCATTGCTCACGTAGCGACACCTACGAATTGGACTAGGCATCGACTTCCGTTCGCAATATATTTCAATATATTTATATATATATGCACATACATACATATATACACAGGACACTCTGAAAACCTACGACGTCTACGATTGATTTTTAACATCCTTGGCTCCATTCTTCGCTCGATTCCTCGATTGAATTTATAAGGATCCCCGCTCGAATCCTCGATTAGCTTTATACTACCATGTGCTTATGGATCCTCGGTTGATTTTATCGCTCGAACGCTTGATTTTGTTTGTTTTTCAACCGGCGCTTGAAAAAATCAATCTCGCTTGCAAAAAATCAATCCGAGAGCCGTTGGGAAGCTTCCGCCTGGAGGAACGGCTTGGAGCTGGCTGCGCGGACGGACAAAGCCGAGCTGAAGCCGAGCCTGCCCGGCGAGATCTCTGAGGATCCGTCCTCGAATGAGCAGAGTAGGACAATGCCCCCTCCCCAGACATGAAACACTTGGCACATCTTGGGACTGAGCTAAGTTGTTTGGCGTGAAGCGCCGCTCCCAACCCCCAACCCCAACCTCCTACACCTTCAAGTGCAACCTTCAACCGTCAAAATGAATATTTGAGGTTGAGGATGGGAAGGGGTCGGACTGGCAAAAAGTGTGAACAGCCGTTGTTTCACATGCCGGACAGTCAGCAGTAGCAGCGTCATCGTAAGCAACACTTTTCATTGTTGAGCAGCACTACAATAGATCACCATCACCATCATTACCGCCACCAGCAGCACCACCATCATCAGCAGCACCTTCCCATATTCATCTCCAGCATCATTTTCATCATTGTCGTCATCATGCTCACCTTCCATCATCGCCTCATCGCCTGCTTATATGACCGTGTTGTGTTCGATTTGTCTGGGAATGCCCAGGGTCTTGCAGTTCGATGTTGGGGGTGCTTCACGAAATCGAATTTGAGACTCAGGTTGTTATCAGGTTCAGGGCTCGTATATCCAGCAAGATTCTGTTAGTTTTCCATGCTTGAGGCATGGCTGGGTCGCATCCGGACCTTTCCGCCCAGAGGCTGTTGCAGGTGGGGTCTAGGTTTCCGGAATGTTTTGCAGTGGCTCCGCATGCCATTGCATCAAGTGTTCAGAGGAAAGATGCACCTCAGGCAGCCCAGAATTTAGGATTCAACAGCGGTGCACTTGTCCTGCTCCTGGCCGTGCTGAGCCACGGTCATAGTTATAGGTTAAGACTCCAAGATCTGTTTGTTTGCAGGACTTGTGGGTTTCGGAAACGTTCTTCGAGGCTCGCTGCGCGCCTCTCCACCAGCTGCTTCTGGAAGGCATGGCCAAGCTGCTGAAGCCAGGAGATCTCCAGGATTGGGGGCCAGGGAGGTTGGGAGATGCTGATTGATTTTGGATCGCATCCCAACATGTCGCACTCCCCAGAATCAGAACTCTTCGCAAGGATGTCCTTCGCGAGAAACAGAGGCCACGCATCGACCTCATCTCTGTAGATGCCGAAGGTGCCGAGATGGAGATCTTCAGGGACTTCCCGTTTCAATCTTGGGACATCCGCTGCATCATCGTGGAAACAAGTCGGAGGACCTCCATGGCCTTGGACAGCTTATTCTTGCCACAGGGCTTTGTGAAGGTGGCTGTTCTGGGTAAGGATGCCATCTATTTGAGCACGAGCCAGCTGAAGACATACCCCATCAGTGGGCAGCTGCATCTGCCGACAGCCATTTACTGGAATGAGCCCGGCTCGGACTCGGAGTTTACCGACTCTTGGATGATTAGAGCGAGCTCGCAGCCTCCCGCTCTGGAACTCCGGACCCGACGGAACTGCGACAGTGTTAGTTGCCCTGTAAAGAGGGGCGAAGAGGTCTTTTTCGAACTTCCGGATACTTCCGAACTCTCGAGGATTACGTGCGTTTCCAGCGATTCTTCGGCCTGGACGGCGACCTGGACGAGGACGTCGGCGATCAGAGGTTCCTTGATATGGGCGTTGAAGTCGTCAGTTGTTCCTGGTTGGGGCTTGCTGTAGATGCCAGGTCTCAAAGTACCGACATTCAGCGACCTTAAGGACCCCGACCTTGCAAGAACCTCTCACCATTTCACAATCCCAAGCCTTCTGAACAGAAACCTCTTCCTCACCAGCTAGAATTCTACAGATTGGAAGTATGGGCATCGCAGTGGCCCACAGCTTCCGTCTCCACTGCTCTTGGAGGCTCCTGAACGAGTCGGAGCTGGAGCGCCAGGCCGTGCGCCAGGAGGCCAAGAACCAACGCTCCCAGCAGGATCCGAGATGAATGCACGAGACGCTGCGAGGGAAGGGAAGCAGAGGCGTAGGATGTCTACAGCAATCTAGGATGTAGTTGTTCGTGCCCCGCCGTGGCAGGGACGGAGAGCTGCAATGCCATAAGTAAACGTGGGCGCGAGCTGTACGCAGCAGCCGGTGTAGGGGAACTTCTGCACGCTTGGAGGAGGCCCTGGAGGTTGCGCAAGGAGCCTTCATCCGCAACTGTCCTGAGTTAGGAGCCACTAGCACTTGAAGCTGTTGCCCTGTGCTTCAGCTGAGGCTCTATCCTTTCCGAGGAGCAGAAACAGCTCGTGCAGCAAGAGGGCATCAAGGAGATTTTCCACGATCCTTTCGTTCGCAAAGCTCTCATGCGCCTGCACCAAGATCCGGACGTTTTTTGGGATGAGCTCCGGGCGAGCTCCCGATTGAAGGCACACGTCAAGCAGCTCTGTGACCTCGACTTGGTGGAGCATTCGGAGCTTTGCCTTGCTTTGACCTAGCCGCTAAGCAGAAAAAGGAGATGGCCAGTCCCTGGTGGCTTCGGGCACCCGCGCCAGAGCAGAGTTTGACATGCAGACAACCGCAGCATGCCGTAACGCCCGCATTTCCAAGATAGAGCACCCGTAACCTATATAACCTCCCGACTTGATCCGCAGAGGAGTACGTGGGCACCCTGACCATTCAAGCCAACCATGAAACTTGCAAGCCACATTCTTTTCTTCTAAGAGTTAACCAGCCAAGAGGATGCTGTCTTGAAGCATGCAAAGCTCCGGAGGTCAGCAAGCGGTCTCTACGCTGCGACTTGGAGCCAGACTTCACTAGAAGGTGCCCTGCAAGCCAGGGGAGAGGGCACGGCTCTCTCGATGGATCGTCGTGCCCAGCATTCTAGAAGTTGTTGATTCGTCACTGGTCTGTAAATGCCAAGCTTCATCTCCTGGACCCCTCCAAGCGCCTTTTTGCGGCCATACCTCCCACCGGCATGTTGTTCTGTGGCTCTCAGCTGCCCCCTGTCGTCTCACCCCGCAAGCCGCGGGAACAGAAAGAATGGGTAGTCCTGCAGGTTGCATGTGTAGTTGGAAAGTTTCGATTTCGGATAGCCCGCGAAATCCTAGCGTACCGAGAACTTCTGTGTCTGGTTCCCAGCCTCTCGGATTACGGGACGTCCGTGGATCCAAGCCCAAAGCCTGCACACTCCCAACCCCCACAGGCAGCCCGCTCGGACCAGCACTCAGCCCGAAATGTCGAGTAGCCTTCTTAACAAGGGCCCTAAGTCGTCGTCGGCCTGACGTGTACCCGGCCATCGCCAATGTCTACTCAGCCATGCGCCCGAAGCGACTGAGCGCCCCAGCGCTGTGCCTCGGGCATGCCATGCGACAACCAACACTCCAATACAACGACGGCATTCGCAATGCAGTTGCTTCCATGACCAGCCGTGATAGGTTCTTGGGTTACTTGAAGTACGTGGAGATTTCGCATCGATCCACAATACTGGACATATATTGGAAACATGCCAACCATCTGACAATTGCAACCTCAAGCAGAGAAGCCCTTCGTAGCCGTAGTAGTGGTCAATGCCCCTCACGAGTCGTGGGATACTGCTCTCATCGGGCACCGTGTCTTTGCAACCGCGCCGTCGTTTTGCGAAGGCAAGAGCCACCATTTCGATCTTGTGTCTCTTTCAACCGTGCAGGGGGTGACCCTAGTGCCCTAGCCTTATGGGAGGGTCGAGAAGGCACGATAATATAAACTCATAAACATAATACAGGACCTGTTGTGACAGGCTGTAGGCAACTGTTGCTTCCGAGTTACCCGGCAATGCGGGCCTGGTACTTGCTAAGTCTGCTAAGTAGGAGGAAAATATAGGACGCAGCGCATGGCAGTGTTGCCTCTTCTCTGCTTTTATAGAGACCTGCGCCCAGGGGGACACAAAGCCTCAACCTCGATGACAAGGCCGGAGCATGGGGCAAGTTGAGGTGTGCGGTGAGGTGTTCGATCAGTGTTGAGCTTGAAGAGGCATCGGGAATGGAAACGCTGCTCCTGCGATCGCACAGCCACTAGCATAACAATGATTGATGACTACCACCGCCGTAGGCGACACCAGGGTTTTCGACAGCATCACCGTCGGCATTGCCATAATCTCCCCAGCCGGAAACCTTCTTTCCTGTCATCGCTCATGACATGAGAACAATCATGGCGGCTGCCGCAAGTTGCGACAGTCGTGGAAAGTTGCATGTCTCCCAATTCCCACTGCAAGTAGCCATGATGACTGTAAGTAGTGCTCTCACCGCGGCATCGGTGGCATAGCTATTAGTACATTGTGCCTGGAAACGAGGGCCGCTGCTTCGGACCAAGATTTTGCAATCTTGGTCCCCCAAGTGGTTCAAGTGGCACACGGTGGTTGCAAGGCAAGATGGACAAGATTGGCAAGATGGGTTAATTCCCCCCCCTCCCCCAGGTGGGAAGCTAGTGGTCCAAGTGGTGCAAGTTGTTTTGGCAAGCTTGCGTGCCAATCTTGCACCCCCCAAGAAGATTGGCGTGTACGATCTTGGTTGAATATCGGCCCTCTTTTCCCGACACATTGTAGCGGCATTTATACTGATGCTAGTAGTACGAATTGCAAAGCCAAGCAGGACAGAAGCAGCTGCAAAAGCAGTGGCAGGTAGTGGTAGTCGTAGTGGTAGTGGTAGTAGCGGTAGTATCAGCAGTAGTAGCACCTAGTACTACTAGTAATAGCAGCAACAACCACGGTAGTGGTGTAGCTGTTGTAGGAGGAGCAGCTGCAGCAGTTGGTAGTAGTCGTCGTAGTAAATAGTAGCCTGCTCCGCAGATTATGAGCAACAGCCTGGAGTAGCAACAGTAAGTCAGTAGTAGTCGTCCTAGTCGTAGTAGCAGCAGCAGAGCAGCATCAGTAGTAGTGGTAGTTAATGGTGGTGGCAGTGGTAGTGGTAGTGGTAGTGATGCCTGCCGGAAAGTTGCTGTGTCAAAACCCACACGAAACGCATTTGCCGACCTTGTGTCTTTTTCTCACGAACAAGACCGCTGTATGCAAAACCACGAATCATCGCAAATACTGTTGTTTTCAACATCGGAACGCACACAATTCTGTAAGAAGCGGCATTCCGAGGACCACATCCACCTTTGTGAAAAGCACCAATCGCAGAAGTTGGCTCTCACACAATAAATTTGGTTGGGGCAACATGTTCCTCATGCTTTTGAATTTGACAACGCATGCTGTAAATAACTAAATAGAAGAGGGAGTAGCAGTAAAAGTAGCAGTAGCAGTGGCAGTAGGAGCAGGAGTAGGAGTAGAAGTGGGAGTAAGAGTAGGAGTAGCAGTAGGGGTAGGAGTAGGAGTAGGGGGCTTTTATTGGTATTACAAATGTTATAAGCAATATTATGATTATAACTATTATTATTAGTAGTAGTAGAAGCAGCAGCTGCAGTAGCAGCAGCAGCAGCAGCAGCAAGGAGGCAACAGGCAATAGCACGGATATCATCGGTGAGAGTGATTTCGACTTGTCTGCACTAGTAGGGGCGACGGTCGATAGGCGGCAGTAGGAGTGCCAGTATCAATGGCAGCAACAGCGACAGCAACAACGACAACAGCAGCGACGGTGACGGCAGCAGAAGATGCCCCAGAGATACAAGAGCAGAATTGCCTTGCCCGTGAATCCCTGCTGCCCAGGCACCGCATTTTGCATGTCAGCTGCTTGTCTCGATCTTGTTCTACTTTCGTTTTTCTCGTGTTGTTCCGCGTCGCGGCTGACAGGCAACTGAGTCCGTGTGAGAGAGAGAGAGAGAGATAGGGTTTAGGGTGTAGGATTTAGAAGATCATTCAGACTCCAGTCTGCAAGCAAAACGCCTTTCGTTTTTCTGTCTCCGTTTGAGTTGAAGAGCGTCGGCAGCCATGACTGCCGGGGGCTGCACGCTGTCACCGTTTTGAATGTTGCTCTGCTATTAGGCATAACCTCCGATAGGCGGTCTCTGAGGGTGCGCTCAGGATATGTTTGGCGGGTTCATATCGTGTTCAGTCTTGCAGTGTTTCGCAGTTCTGGGCTGTGCAGATGATAAGTTAGTAGCCGTGGAACTGGGGCATTTGCACACTGTGTCATTGTTGTGCAACGGTCAGGGAGGCAGACACCGAGCGAGAGGGAGAGGAAGACGTGCCTGGACAGATGGACAGCCAGCTAACTAGCCAGTTGGTTTGAGGTCCAACTTCGGGGCTGACCACTCCTAAAACACTGGCGGGCAAGACGAGCAATGGTTCAGGGCCTAGCAATCAAGCATGCGAGCGCGCGAGCAACCAAGCATGCCAGCAAGCTCGCATGGTGTTTTCTAGAGCATGCCGTTGGTTAAGGCGGCAAACGTGCCTGGTCCATGCTTGTAGTTGCCGTGTAGCATGGTTCCAAGTGGTACTGTACTGTGAAAGCCCAATCACTTGTTGTTCAGTGCGATTGTCAGGGCGTTAGGAGAAGGAGATTGTTTTTTGACAGGCATCCGTTGCTTGCAGTATGTTCTTCGCAACCTGCGCTGCAACAGGTGTGGGCGGCGACGCTTCTGATTAAGAGAGAGGGACTGTCTGGGACTTCTAGAACACCTTAAACCGAAAGCGAGAGAGGGAAGAGATAGATAGGAGGACAGACAGTTGGATGGTAGATAGATAGACGGACAGAGCTAGACGAAAGAAAGTGACACCTTGAACGTCTATCGACTCAGCCACTTCAGTGGCTTGCTGCACTGAGGGCCTCGTCGGACATCGATGGCAGCCCAATGCCGGCAGCCTTTCACCATACGCATCCCAACCGAAGCTTCAGTGGATACACTCCCCTTCTTTTTGAGCTTTGCTCCTCGGAGCATTGAAGACGAGCCGACACCACAGCGGCATAAGGAGCACGATGTCCCTCAACCTCGATGAAGTGCTGAGATCCGAATTCCGTGCAGCCTACGACCAGGCATCAGTGCTGTGGAATGGTCGGGATTCTGCGATTGATGTGAGCATTTTCTCACCAGCCATCCTGGTGAGTGAGAGGGATGGAGGCTGCCTTTCAAAGGCCGATTGACTTGCGCATCTCCCAGCCGGCACGGTCCAAGCTCTGAATCCCTGATCGGAGTTGGGAGGATGTTCTGCATGAGTCCATGCCTGCCTTTGCTCGAATGATGGCCAGGAAGCAAACGCGAAGCATTCCGATCTCTCTGACGTCTTCAGCAATGCTTCTCGGCTACTGCCTGTTCAACAACGGCACTGGTAAATTGTCGTATGTATGTAGAACGTAGAGTGGCACTGCGAAATTGAGTTTCGATTGCATGTGTTCCTTGACTATTCCCTTGGCCACCTTCCCAAAGTGAAGCCGCCAGCGGTTGGTTGGCTACCAAGAGCTGAGCGCTTCGGTCATGCCACACACTGCTGCAAGTTCCTTGGCTCTACGCCCCAAGCCAAGGAATCTGGCCTTGTGGAGCATTGCCGCTGGGCTGAGCCGCATGTAAATTCATTGCTAGGCATGCTCGAGTTGAATGCGCCGGCTTCAGTGCTTTACGGACTCTTTGGGGGGGGGGGGGGGCGGATCTCTGTACCACGAGTTACGGGAGTAATGTGAGCATTTTCGTCGTTTCCAACCCCATTGCAATGCTGTCTCTGGGGCGGATCGGTAAAGAGCTCAGCCTTGATTCTTCAATCCTGAGGTTCGCAAGTCATAGACAGCCAGCTCTTCATGCTCGTGTTCTTGATCCTGACGGCCGTTCTGCCAAAAGTATGACGACACAGCGAGAAGGGGCTACTAAAGAGTCAAGTTCTGGGATCAAGCGTTGATGGCACGAGTGACATGGGAAGACTTGATGAGCTGCTTGCAAACCCAAATGCCCCAATACCTCGCGCAGGAACTTATTCCCCCCTCGCGTTCCCGCGCCACAATGACAAATCCCACTGATGATTCGACTATCCATACAAGGCGTCGCCCGTTGTTTAAGATTCGCTCTTGATACTGGGCCCCTGCACGGAGCAATGTGCCGGAAGTGAAGAGTCGCCAGCTCCAGGTCTACGCGCTGTTTGCAACAGCCCCTCGGAAGTCCAATACTTACCGGCCTGGAAGCTATCGGGTTTACATTGGCTAGAAAGTTGCCGGCAGTGTCAGGCCTTCAGATGAAATCGGCGTCCCGTTTGTTTTCGTGTGCGCGAGCAGCAGCCGGCTCTTCCAGCAAATTCCCCAAATGTAGTACCAGTAGCACGCTCAACACAGTCACTGTGCTTTCTGTAGTATACGTGTTCGAAAGAGTTCGCTACTGCACAGTGATGCTTCTGCCCACCTTTCCGGCGTCGAAAGCCACCCTTCCCCACAGGACTTGGATACCCTCCTTGGTACTGTGGACTCAAGATACGTGCTGAGCATCGTCACCACGGTGGTGTTCCTCTTGTTCGGAGTCGAGCCTGGGCGACACAAATAATTTAATAATTCATCCACCAAAGCAGCACATGGCTTACGTTTGCACTGCCATGATGCCATCTGATTGCGCGCCATGCATCCGTATTTTGCACGCTCCTTTCTAGACATGATAGACATGTGTAGTGACAGTGAGGGTGTAGCCGAGCTGGGCCCACGACCGTCCTAGGAGCTGCTGCTTCTGAGTGCCTTGGCCATAGCACAGACTCATCCTCTGTCTCAGAGGTGGGCCGTATAGAGTTTCCTTTGTCTGCACAAAAGGCTGTTCTTGTTTGGTTCAAGAGTCGTGAGGCGACAGCTGCCGATCGGCCGATTCGTCTCATGGCTAAGGTTTGTTCAAGTATGACTATGCGTTCCGGGCCTTCTTCTGGCTGGACCTGGTCGCCTTGCACCTCCTCTGCGTACTGTGCGTCGGTTTAGAATCGCTAGAAGGGCTACTCTGCGTCAGGTCAGTTCTTTTCGCCATCAAGGCTCCAATCCTTCAACACGACTTCCTTCTGCGTACATGAGGGTTATCCAAGAAATGCCAACTTCATATAGTCGTATCAAACCGATCGTCCAAGCAGCGCTGCCAACGGGGCCTGCGGATCTGGCATGCATCACGCTCACGCTCGGAACACACGACCGCAAGATAAACAATAGGTGCTGTGGTAATCTCATGGGGTGAAGGTTCAGAGTGTTGCAAGACAAATGTGTCGCCTGCTGAGGGTGTCGCTGTTGCCTGAAACGTGCCTCGGCCAGCAAGCTGATCGACGAGTGGGCGGTTGCGCAGCAAGTTAGTCCTCTTACAGACTGACGGGAATAGATGGGATGCATGAAAACAGCCACGGCATTCAATGCAGGTCACATGTTCTTCTTGAAGCCATTTAAGGTGGTTTGTGCAGCAGCTTTTTGCCAGTGATAGCCTGGTGGCTGCCCGCTCCACACGCATGATGAAGGCCACCACTTGGGGGCACTCGTCGACTCGTCGTGGGCCGTTTCAAGAGAATACCAGGGCTCCGAGCAATGCTATGCTGTACAGAATTTGCATCGCTTTGTTGTTGTGCCAGTCCTAGGGGTGCTCCTTTGAAAGACATCAGAGAGCATAGAATCAATGGCTGCGCCAGAGTCCTGAAGTGACTGTGTGGATTGGCCATAAACTATGCGCATCTCTAAAGGCAAGTGTTCTAAACCACAAAACACCGTTCCTGACTGGCAGTTTTTGAAGCCTTATCCAATCGACAGGCAATCCGCCTGGTCATTCGCTCCTCCAAGGCTGGGAATGGGAGGTACGTTACAGGGACGGTTCGAAACCTGCAGTGTTCAGGCTGTGAAAGCAGTCAGATTCAGGCTCTACTGGATCCGAAGCGAACACCTCTGAGAGTTAAGCAGTTAAGCCCCTCACTTCTCAAATCGACAGACACTGTACCCGCAAACGCACGACGGAGGCGACAAGACTGAATCGCTTCACAAGGATGGCACCTCGTCGGCTCGGGATGTAGATTCTGAGGTACAGACCAGTGACCAGGTCTGGTCATGTCAGTTCTACTGTGCATCTCAAAATCTCGGCTTGGAACGCTGGCATGTGTCACAGCGCCTGCAAACTGCAGCTTGCTCGGGCAGAGATTCCGGAAGTGTTCCGACTCTTGTTCCTGCCGTTGTGTTTTGTTTCTCATCTCTCACGGCGACTTTATGTTTGCACGCCCTGTGGCCAGTACCTAAGTGCTGACATCCTCCTCGTCGTCGTCATCATCATCGCCTTCTTCATCTTCTGATCATCATGAGTCGTCATCATCATGTTCGTGATTAGATGGTCTTCGATGCCATCGTGCTTTTCTTCTTATCGTATAGGCAGGTTCGGAGGAAGTATTGCCAGTATTGTAGCGGGCTTGCAAGTAAGCGGGCAAGCAGCCCAGATGGCTAGGGTGAGGGCTGGCACCGTTCAAGCTGCGGGCAGAGATGGTTCCCCGATGTTTCCTGTAGCTGTAGCGGTGTCAGCACGGAGTGAGACAGCGGCTACTACACGCAGCTCATCCAAAACTCTCATCCTGCAGCCGAGGTCAGAGTGTCGGCCATGCTTCCACGGCTCTTTCAGGCCTGGCCCCTCTTTCGTCAACGGCTTTCAACATACTAAACAAGCACATCAGGGGCCTGCACAGTGCTGTTTTGTGTCATGCCTTCGTGTTTCCAAGTTATCGTAGCAACTGCCAGGCTCTAACACGAGGTTTTCCGATCTCATTCGCTCCAAGCCCAGATCTGCCCGTTCTCGTCGGTTTTGGCGTGTGCTGCTGTCTTGCAAGATGCATGCTACAGGCAAAGTGCAACACTTCCAAACTCTGGCCACTCAAGAAGTCATGTGTGCCCAGCTGATCAGGCAAGGTTCAGGGTTCAGAAACTGGAGCCCTCACTACCTCTCAACTGCGAAAAGGGTTACCCTTTTTTGCATGGCGATGTATGTGTGTGTGGAAGAGATCGTGCATGAGGGACTAGGACCAAGACGTTGCCGCTGCCACATGAGCCTAAGGTCTTTTGAGGGAGCTGCCAGTATTCTGCTTGGCAGCCTCCCTCCTACTATACAGCCTTGAAGTTTTGGTTTCGTTGCAAACCAAGACTTGAAATCGTGAGCTTGGCTTGGCACCAGTTACAGGCATCGTAGTTCGAACCCTGATGTAGAGCGCTCCGCAGATGCTGCCTAGCCAATGTGGCATAGGTGTCGTTTGCCTGCGCGCTTGTCACAGTATACGTTCAAGCATGCCGCTACCACATAGGGTGTGCAAGGAGGAACCTTAGAACGGACTTGGATGCATAGATCCAGAGCTTCCACACCAAATCCAGAGCTTCCAAGCCGGCACAGCGTCTTTGTTTCTGCACAGGCTGCTACCAAGAAGCCAGACCCTCAGTACTGCACCGGCCTTTTATTAAATCGGAGGGTTGGCTGTTGGGGGCTTGGCTTTCCAAATGACGGGGGCACGGGGGCTAGCAAAACCCAGCTCAACAAGCCTACCGGTTTTCAGCTTCAGCTCTCCGATTGTGCCGGCCATTATTTGGTCTACGCACAAGCCCACAGTCTATTCAGTCATCTGTGCCGGCTTCTCATGAAAAAGAGTGACGCGCTTCGCAAGTCGTGCTGACTTGCTCCTTCGAGTCCTGGCCAAGTAGTTCTTCACGAGTCTAACAAACAAAGTCTGCTCGAAGCATTCCCAGTGCCCAGCCTGGAACACTGCAAGGCCAGAAGACAGTGGAAAAGACGAAGCTTGGCAATGAGAAAGTCTGCAGATGGCGAGTGTAGACATGCCCAACAGGGCCATCTACTTCCGCTATCGGACTGTCGCTTGCTAATCTGAAGCGATTTTGGCAGCCGAGGGGCAATGCTGGCAACAGGCGACAGTCTTTGTACCGAGGTCGAAGCTTTGCTCGACCGCAAGCTGCACCGCATCTTTGTCTACCTAGTGCCTGGCAAGCAGTGAGAGAAAGGCCGCGTTTTCGGGGTTCAGCGACTTTGTCAATGCCTGGTGTTGCATGCTAATGGCCGCTAGCAGCTTCACGCCAGCCTGATCTCTCGTTTAGGACACAGCTCTTGTCCGATCTGGCGTACCGTAGGAGACAAGGACTCATCTCTTGCTCAAGAGGCTCCGGCTTTCCGCTCTTCGTTATGGCACGTCTCGGCTCTAGGTCTCCAGGTCTAGTCACTTGTGGGCTGTTGGTCGATCCCAAACTTATCCCGAGGACAAGGATCAAGATGGAATGGTTAGCGCGGCCCTCGTGGATGTGATCGTGCGCCGAATCATGCGCAAGAAGAAGCCAAGGTTTCTTGGTGTGAAATTCCAGCTTTCGGGGCTTCGGTGGTCTTGCGATTCCTGAGGTCAGAGTTGGGGCTTCGTGTCCGGCGTAAAGGATCCATTCCGAACGGCATTCTTCCTGAACTCTCCCGCTGGTTCCACATGGTGCTCTACTTTAGAGGCTCCTATTCAGACCCTGCCTCACCGTCTTCATGCCGCTAGCGACGGCCAGTTTGGTGATTCCAGGCGCAGTCTCACCCGGATGCTAACCAGGACTGGTGTTCTGGGGTCCTTGTACTGCGTTCTGGGCATGGTTGCTAGTTGACGATTGCAAGTCTACTGGATTCTGGTCACCCGGCGTTTTTCAGACTCGACCGATCAGGAAAACAACGCACATGTGACACGAACTCCGCGCTTTGCATGTCTGCTGCCATTCGACCATGATAGGCACCACAAGGCACAAGGCGCCATACAGTGAACCAGATGCACACTTTCACATTGCATGTTCCACAGCAAGATTCGTGAGCTGCTGCTGCAGCCGACAGGAATCTTCCGGCTGTACCCGCCATGCGGCGAGAAAACTCCGGCGTGTCAGATGTTGGTGGCGTCCTGACAGTCACTCGTTTCCCGATCAGGGTCTCTGGCATTCATCGCAGCTCAGAAACTCTTGTCACGAAGGAGGGAGGAGGGTCCAGAAACAACGAGACCGCATCATGCCATGTCGTATGTCCAATATTCCAGCAGTTTCAAAGGAAAGAGGGCTGCTGGGATGCAGAGGGAGCTGCCATGCATCAAGTGCCATCCGCTGCTGTTCTTTTTCTGGATGAAGGAGGGTTGTTGAGAGGGGGGGGGCTGTCGGGTTGAAAGAAGGTCATTCGAAATCGTTTCAGCGGTTCAGAGAGGTCTTTCGTTGCTTGTTTGTTTTTTCTATTTTGGTAGCTGTTTTTGGGACATGTGTTGCGACAGTCATCATTGAGACCGCATAGTTTTATTCATGTTCGTCCGGGACCTTGGAACAAACTTTTTACATGGCTTCAATCCATGGCTGCGGTTGCTGGTTTTTGTCATTCGGACCATAAGCCCACTGTTGATGAACTTCGTTCTTGGGCTTCCGACCGACGCGCTTGGGCTGCCATGTTAGGGAACGCTACAGTTTTTCATTCCCCGTGCATAGTCCGTGTGCCTGGACTTCGTGGAGAGATGCACTTACTGCGAAGGTCCCGTGGGTTACCTCTGTTTTCCTCATCCCTGGACATCTGCCGAATCAATACTATTTGGTCTGGTTGGACGAAACTGAAGGGTTCCAATTTTTCTATGCTGGGCTTCTTACTGGTCTTCGGTTCTTCATCATGGGTCTGTCTGCAGGGCGATGCATGGTCAATATTCTTTGCGATGTTGGAGTTTCGGAAGCTATTAGAGATTGATGAGCTTACTCGAGTCATGTATTCGTGGCATAACATTCTTCTGAGTTTCAGTACTGTACCCTCTGAGTGGGTGAGGAAAGTGCGAGCCTACTCGTTCTTGGACGGCTAGTGTTGAGCACGGCCTTCTCTCCGTCATAGCATTTATAGTACGGATGCAAACAAAGGTAGCTGTTAAAGCCTTAGCTTAACGTTTGTTTTGTTGTTACTGTGCTTTTAAGCTTTGTTGTCGGTTGTTGATCTGTTGAGTGTGGTTTGATAGTTTGTGTTTGTTTTTGCTTCATGTTGCGGTTGTTGTATGCATGTACCTAAAAGTATGTATGACTCCTGTATGATGCCTCGCCTGCCCTGCCGAGTGCTGCATGTATGCAGGCCCCAGGTTTGTCTGTCTGTCTGTCTGTCTGTCTCTACGTCGGTCTGTCTGTTCGTCTGTCTGTCTGTTTGCATGTACGTATGTATTTGTGTGTAATTATGTGTATGTGCGTGTGTTTGTGCATGTGTATGTATGTATGGTTTCTCCGCTATTGATTCTACTCTGCCCAGTTGATTAGTTGTTCAATTGTCTCAGTTATTTTCTATTCATTCTGTTGTGAATTTCCTGCTGACGTTGCTGAATCTCTGTACTGTCTGGAGTCTTTGCTCAAAGCGGTGTTTTGGAAAGTTGTGATGTTCTGCTTTCTGTGTGTTTTTTGCATGTTAGCATGCGCTGTTTTTATTTGGTTGGGAGGGTTATTTTCTTTCGCACGTTTAGAGTGTGTTGTTGCAAGTTGCGGAGATCTGTTGAATTCTATGGAATGTGTTTGGTGGGATCTTGCTGGAGTGTTCTGCTTTTCGCGGCAGTTTCCTTGCTGCTCCGAATTTGTGCAGATGATTTCTGTTTCTGATTTGCCCAGATGTTTCCCAATCTGTCCAACTGTCCTGAGACAGACTCTTGGCTTGTCGGGTAGCCCGACAGATCAGATCTGAGGAGATTGGAAGCCGGCGAGTGACGGTGAGGCCTGATGCAGAGAGTTGTTGGGCCATGTCTGAAGCCAAAATCGTGGCAACCATGCTCAGCCCAGCTTGCAGTGGAAGGAGCGCTTCGTCTGACGAATGCGAAGGCGTGGACAGCTCACCGACGCGGTACCTCAGAAGCATCGAAGGCAAAGGTGCGGCAGTATGGCGTGTCCGGTGCTGGTGCAGGGCCTGCTTAGAAGAATTTAGAGGGTTTGCTGCTAAACCGTTCCTTGTGACACCGAAGGTCTTGAGAGATTGTTCTTGTCTCGCATGCTTTGTGTACAGTTCAGGCAATGTCAGCGAAGGTTGATATGTCTCGTATGGCTTCAAGCCGTGGACGCATACTGGGGACGGGAAGCGCCGTTTTGAGCAAACGCATGGTAGAAGGAGGCGAAGGCAAATAAAGGCGAGGGCCCCATGGGCAGAGAATGCTCCAGGAGACTGCTGCGAAGTGTATGACAGGAGGAAATGAAGACTGTCGAGAACAGTCTTTATATCTTCGCTGCGATAGCCAATGAGATATGTCCTTACTTGGTGAAGTAACACCCCTATGTTCGAACCGTTGATGTGCAGCCCTGGCTGTCACAGCGAGCGAGAGCGTAAATGCCGGAGTCGCTGTTCACCCAGCCGTGCTCGGCAAGCTCGGCCGATGTTCTAAGCTGAGAGGGTCAACATGCCGGAGTCACGTCCTCAATCAAGGCGAGTTGGCAACAGCCCGCGGAGCCCGTCTGGCTCGCGGCGAGTAGAGTGTCTCTGCCGCGCTTGTAGTACGTCTGGCTTTCATTGTCGTGCGCTTGCCCTACAGGCCTACAGGGGTTACAGATGGTTACGGTCGCGGTTGTTGCGGCGAGCAAGACTGGATAAGACTGGGACACGCATCATGCCGTGCAAGGCCCGCGAAGGATGCCCGTGTGCGGATTAAGCCATCCATAGCTTATCGCTTCGTTGCGGACTAAGTGCACATGGTGCCTGAAAATCAGATGTTGCCTTGACCCGTCGTTCGCGCTTCTAATGATTCTAATGCGTGAAGCCCTTCTAGCCGATTCTGGCCCCCCTTGGCCCAGGAAACTCCAGACTTTTGCAACTTTGCAAAGTGCAGACAGCGTGATTTGCAGCCAGAGTCTGGCTGAGGATGCGGCGAGGTGGGTTGCATTGGGTTGCGGTACTGACGGCAGTCGTTTAAATCACGTATATCGATAATGCACCACGCAGCCCGTACCTGCCGGGAAGAGTTCTTAGGACTGTTTGTGCTGCGTTGGCACGCTGCAAGATCTCGCCGTCTTGACAAGATTTTTATGAGTATCAAGGTTTGCAGCCCCTGCTAAAAAGAATCCAGGTGCCTAAAAGAAAGCACGGAGCATGCACCTGGTGAATCACTAGAGGTTCTGCTCGTTAAGGCTTCTGTCCACCCTTGCTCCGCCCTGGCAGGCTAGATTTGGAGGTTCTTGGCTTGCAATCCAGAGAAAGGTTGCGACTCGAGTAGCAAAGATCTGTCGCAGATCGCAGGTGCCGGTTGCGGGTTCGGCCATGCATGTTTCGCGAGTGGGTCTTGCTGCCGTCCCATAATGCTCCACCTCGTTTTGGGATTTTGTATCAGCAGCAGTCGCCGTGGCAGTCGCAGTGGTAGTGGCATCGGTCGTGGTCGTCGTCGTCGTCGTCGTAGTCGTGGTGTTGGTGGTGGTGGTGGTAGTAATGCTCGGTAGTAGGAGCGAGAGCGAGTGGACATGGAAGGCACGAGTGCTTTGTCTTTGCAGCAGGCATTCGTGAGAGTTCAGTTGTAAAATACTCAGTAGTGGTACTAGTAGTAGTAGTAGTAGTAGTAGTAGTAGTTGTAGTTGTTGTTGTAGTGGCAGGGCAGTGGCAGTGGCAGTGGTAGTGGTAGTCGTAGTAGTAGTAGTAGTCGTCGTCGTCGTCGTAGTCGTAGTCGTAGTCGTAGTCGTAGTCGTCGTAGTAGTAGTAGTAGTACTAGTAGTAGTAGTAGTAGTAGTAGTAGTAGTAGTAGTAGTGGAGGGAGTAGGGTTAGCGGTAGAGGTAGTCGTGGTCAGGTCGTGGTGGTAGTGGCAGCTGAAGTGGTCGCAGTAGTTGTAGTCTTAGTCAGTACTCGTAGTCGCAGTCGTATTGTCTGTTGCAGTCGTGGTTGCATCATCGTCGTCGAAGTAGACGTCGTCGTCGTCGAAGGAGTAGTAGTAGTAGTAGTAGTAGTAGTAGTAGTAGTAGTAGTAGCAGTAGTAGCAGTAGCAGTAGCAGTAGTAGCAGCAGCAGCAGGAGTAATAGTGGTGGTGGTTGTGGTGGTGGTGGTGGTGGTGGTAGTTAGTAGCAGTAGCAGTAGCAGTAGCAGTAGTAGTAGTAGTAGTAGTAGTAGCAGTAGCAGTAGCAGTAGCAGTAGCAGTAGGAGTAGTAGTAGTAGTAGTAGTAGTACAGGAGTAGTAGGAGTAGTAGTAGCAGCAGGAACAGTACTAGCAGCAGGTTGGTTCGGGTTGAGGGTTTTGGGTTGTGGGTTGTTGCCTCCGTTGCCGTTGCTGTTGCGGTTGCTGTTACTGCTGCTGTTGCTGTTGTTGTTGTTGTTGCTGCTGTTGTGTTGTGGTTGTGGTCGTCGTCTTCGTTGCCGTTGTTGGGTTGTTGTCGTTGTCGTCCTCGTCGTCCTCGATGGTGTCGCTGAGGTTGTAGTTCCAGTTGTTCCGTTTGTTGACGTCACGACACAGCCGGAGCCATTGCACCGTTTCGCGTATCCGTCTGTCGTAGCAATCATAGATCTGCGGGATCCACGGGCGTCTCACCACCAGCGCGTGTGTTGGCTCCTGGCGGTGCGCCATTGCCATTGGCGGCTTTTTCTGCAGAAGCGGCGGGGCTTCCTTAACAATTCAGGTGCACAGCGTTGTTAGCCCCCATGGTATGGTTGTCCGTCTTGTGCATATTGGTTGCTGAGGCATCTCTTGAAGAGGCCGTCATGTCGCAGCCGACCGAGCCTCTGGGAAAGCATCGAGTTGCTCCAGACTGCAATACCTGTGGGGCGCTTTTGTTTGAGAGCCGTTCGGGGTTACCACGGCCTATTCCGGAGATCACCATGTGCCGACTTGTGCACATGACATCCATCCAGTATGTGGACTGTCCACCAAGCACTACCCCCGGTGACTAGGCCAGTAAGACGCATGGCCTCCACAAATATGGGATTCGTCAGGTGAACTACAGTGAACTATTTGACTCAAGCTTGACCCTTCGCGAAAAAAGAACGCTCCCTCCATTTCTGTTTGCGCTGGTGTTTCTAAACACGAAACTGTTGCACAGCAGGGCTTTCAGCAGTTGATGTGATGATGCCTTGGGTGATCCCAATGCTAAGGTGGAAAAGAGCTGTTAGCGAACCGACAGCCTCGGCCACTGGCGCAGATCTCAGCCAATGCTTCCCAAAATTGTCGCTGGTAGGCTAGGTAACCCGACAGTCGTTAGGCGGCGCGCACTGCGCGCTCAGACAAAGGCATGCGAGATTGCCACATACCGAGTCTGACAGCTATGACAACGCGTATAGAGGCGACAACAACTGTAATGGCAACAGCTTGAAAGATTGTTGGACAGTTGGAAGTCCCAGCATAATGCCTCAACCGCCCTACCGTTTAGAACTTAAGCCGTCGCAATCCAAGCCCATGCTGAAAAAAAAGCCGTCTTGTGATTACAAGCGTATTCACCCTAGGCCTAGACTTGGGTTCGTAGTATCGAAAGCTATCCGAAAACCAAGAGAAGTGATGCAGCACTTTGAAGTTACACGGGAAGGACCCTTTTCAGAGTTTCACAGGCTCGGCCTGCCCAGCCATGAAGTCTAAAGCGCAGGGATCAGCTGAACGCTTGAAGCCCATAGCCTCCAATCAACTTAGGCCTGGAGACATCGATGTCGATGTCGGTCGCAGCGCGTGGTGGCTTCAGGAGAAAGCGCTGCTCGTCAACAACTCGGCACGGGCTCGAGCTGCGCGTGTTACAACAAGAACGGGAGTTTTGTCGCAGGGCAGATAGGGCGCTTCTGTCAATGGGGTAGTCTCCGGTTAAGAGTCTTCTGGCTGTCGCGACGACGCTTTGGCGGTGCTTGGCTGATCGGCTTGGTGTTTAGACTTTAGACTGACGAGGTGTTTGGGCTTGAAGCTGTCGGTTGTCCACTCAAGTCACCTTTCACGAACCAAACATGCACTAAGACGCGCTAAAACGCGCGGCGCCGAATTCAGGTGCTGCAGTTCTAGTCTGCACAGCACGCTCTAATCTAAGGCGCAATGTCCAAGAAAACGACGTTGAGCTCCTCTGCATCGATGAATCGCAATGCGTCGACCGCATCCGTGGACTCCGACGAGGCAGTTCGCATGATTTCGCATGGTGAAGGTTGTGTGTTCCAGATGTGGATGCTACAGCTTGTTTTGTTGCTATCAGCGCGGGTCGTCGCGTTGTCGTTGTTGTTGTTGTTGTTGTTGTTGTTGTTGTTGTTGTTGCTGTTGCTGTTGCTGCTGCTGTTGCTGCTGCTGTTGTTGGTGCTGTTGGTGCTGTTGTTGTTGTTGTGGTTGTTGTTGTTGTTGTTGTAGCCGCTATGGATCACAGCAGGCTGTGTAGCTTTGCTAGCAAGGCTCTGGGTACCAACGCTAGAGGCTCGCAACGGCCCCCTTCTGCGAAGCTTAAGGGACTGTCCTCTTACTGAGCCATAGCTATCCCCGGAGTCGCGTGTCGCTGTGATCTACCGGGTCCCAATTCCCGGGCCTCTGTCTGCAGTTATACAACCTTGGCATGAGGTAAGCGGTAGTGGTTTTCACCTTTTCCGCAGGGTGAAAGGAGTCGGTTCGAGTTCTCTCTTTCCGGCGAAACTAGCGGACGGCGCAATCGCCAATGCACCAGCATTCATTTGAGAGCATTCGCAAGAAGGCCTTTCGCAAGGCTTGCAATAAGGTTCATCGAGCACAAGAAAGCATCCCGTACCGGAATGGTACGTTGACGCCTGAACATCTGCGTCGCAGTGGACTCACCCCCCCCTCCCCTCCCCCCCTCCCAGTGCAGCCTAGCTCCACGATTTCTCCTTCAGGTCCCTCAGGTTTCTCCGCCAGTTTCCGCTCGCGCCCGAGAGGCGGTCGTGCCAGCAAGTCTCTTCGTGTTCTTTCCTGGAATGCAGGGCACCTTGGCATGCAACAATGGGCAGAAGTGAAGACATGGCTTCGCACGGAGGCCAAGTCAGTCTGTGACATTCTTGTCCTTCAGGAAACCCACTGGAGTGAGACAGCAGAATTTGATGTCGAAGGCTGGCACTGCGTCAGCTCCGCCACAAAAGGGGCTGCTCGAGCACCTAAAGGTAAAGCCACTCCAGGGCAACGCCCCAAGCAAGGCGCTGCCACGCAGCCGGCTGTTCACGACACAAGCCGAGCGGACGGCGTCATGGTTCTTCTCTCTCCGCAGATAGACAAGAAGAAGATAAGATGGCGCGAGCAACGCCGGGGAAGGCTCATTCAGGTCATCTTCCCGTGGCTTGGGGCTCGTGTGCATGTACTAGCGGTTTACCAACATGCCTGGTCTTCTAAGAAGACTCCACAGCAGAACAAGGATGACCGCTCACACCTGCTCCGCGATCTGTCGGCTGCGATACGGGCCATTCCAGCGCGAGATACTTTTCTCTTGGCAGGAGACTTTAATGCTCGACTGACCCCGCAGGAGGGCCTGGTAGGTCAGTGTAGCACCAAGCCAGAGCAAACTCAGATGCAGGATGAATCGTTCCAAGCCTTAGTCTCCTCCCATCGGTTGGTAGCTCTTAACACATGGTCTAGTGGTGCAGGTCACACTTTTTTCCTGAATGGTCAGGGATCACAAATTGACTTCCTGCTCACTTCAGAAGCCTCGGCCAAGGGCCTGGCAAAGCAGTCTCGGCCGTGCAAGGATCTTCAGCTCGGCAAATGGAAGAGGGGCGGCCACCTTCCAGTCTTGGCTCAAATCAGACCCACCCAGCACTGGAATCTGCCAAAGCCTGCTTGTCCTTCCACGACCTTTCATAAGGAAGCTCTAGAGACGGCTGTCCGTTCAGGTCTGCCAATAGCCGGTCGCATGCAGGACTGGGTGGGCGTCTGTCCTCTCGGACTCACACGCCTGATGAAGTCAATCAGGTACTGCTGGAGGCCTCTGCACTGTTCTTCCCCAAACCACGGGCTCAGCAAGCTCCTGAAACTGCTCAGCACCGTGCGACGCTGCGAATGTGGAGTCGAGTCGCTCATATTCGTTCTTTGCATGAGGACTCCATAACCACCTTATCCGACCTAGATCAGTCTTTGGAGGACCTGAATCGATGGCATAAGCAGGCTCTCTACTTAGCCAAGAAGGAACGACACCGAGCTTTCCAGGCTGAGGTCGATGAGGCGTGTGCCAGGCACGATTCTTACATCGCACACAAGACCCTCAAGAAGCTCCGACCTTGGGAACCTCAAACTAAGGCACAGCTTCAGGGGCCGGACGGTCTGCTGCTGGGTTCTTCCTCTGAGCTTCGCCTGCTTCGAGACCACGTGGAACAGGTCTTTGCCAGACATCCGCCTCTTGATCACCAGGTGGACTCGCTACCGGAAATCCCGGCTGGTCTGCTGGCAAAGCACATAGGCTCAATAAGACCGCACAAGGCGGTACCGCAAGGCTCTGCTCCGGCGGCTGCCTGGCGGCTCTGCTCGGCGGCTGCGGGAGAGGCGTTAGCAGCAACGCTGCAAGCTCGGGGGCAACGCCCATCGCCGGCTGCTGAAGTACTTCAGCCGCCCTTAAAGGATGCTGACTTGTGTTTTATCCCAAAGCCTAACAAGCCGGCCACGAAGCCTGGCAATCTACGTCCCCTCGGCATCATTCGACCAGACGGCAAGGGCCTGGCGGGGGCTTGCAGAGATCAGCTGTCTCCCTACACGGCTGACTATCTTCGGGATCTCCCGCAATTTGCCTACCAGCCGAATCGCGGTCTTTCAGATGCCTTGAGCAGGGTCGTTGGTCATGTCACTCAGGTACGCAATGACTGCCAGGAGGCCCGACGAACCAGGCATCAACTTCACTCTGGGCAAACTCGTCCCCAGCTAGTAGGTGGTATCTGCTTTGCATTGGACTTGTCACAAGCCTTTGACATGGTGAGCAGGACAGACTTGCTTAGCACACTGCAGGACGCGGGAGTCCCGCAGGACCTCATTGACCTAGTTGCCTCATTGCATGCTGGCAGTGCTTACACGTTTCGCACCCAGGGCGAAGAGGACACGGTCCAGTCCACTGCGGGCATTAAACAGGGGTGTAAGCTTGCCCCCACACTTTTTTCCATGCTTACGGGCACCATTTTCCGGGAGCTCATAGCTCTTGTTGGAGTTCGAGCGGTAGTGGACTACCTCACGGGCTATGCAGACGACCTTACGGTTCATCGCGACATCCACTCGTTGGAGGACCTGGGTCGCGCTCATGCTCTGATTGAGCAACTGTTGCAGTTGGTCCGCAGCCATGGTTTTGCTGTCAATGGAGCAAAATGCACTGTCATGATTAAACTCGAGGGCCAACAGGCGCAACGCGCCATCTCCAAGCACACTTATTGGCGCACCGCGCCTGACGGAACCCGCCACAAGATGTGGAGACTGGGAGAGTCCAAGTCTCACGAGGGCTTTCCACTGGTGACGTCCTTTAAGTATCTCGGCGTCATGCTCTCCTACTCCAACTTCGAGAAGGCCACTCTCAAGTTCCGCTTGCAGGAGGGCAATGTGAAACTGCAGCAGGTACGCCGCTTTGTACACAACAGACGAACGGCGGGGCCAGCATCGCGGTTGCACATTTGGCATAGCACTGTCTGGGCCACAGTAGCCTCAGGATTGGTGGATGTGGGCTTGACCCTAGAGACAGCTAAACTGTTGCGGGCTTGGCACGCTCGCAAAATCCGGGCTGTCCTGAACAAGCCAGCGCACCTGACACACTTATCCACAGCTGACCTCTATGCCTCCCATGAGATCATAGACCCTGTCCGTAAGCTGCAGGCGCGACAGGCCAATCGGGTCAAGCGCTTAGGTACTCGACAGCGGAAGACTCCTGCTGGGGATATCTCTTTAACTCAGCGAGCGCTCCTCCAGGCGGAGGCACTCTCTGCTAGTTATGCAGACGTTCTGCAGCAACTCTCTAAGGACATAT